AGTCTCGCAACGATACTTGGTTTCTCGAGCGCCACGCAACGGTACTTGGTTTCTCGAGCGTCGCGATAAGATACTTGGTTTCTCTAGAGGCGCTGCGCCGTACGTGCTTTGAGTTAGGGACGAGCGATGTGAAAGGAGCAAATCTCTAGGGCCGCAGGCCAGGCCCCCCGTCGGAAGTTAGTTTACTCAAATATGCAAGTGATGTACCGGCAGGTCAAGCAGGCCCGGCCCCTGCCAAACGGAGTTGCCGGCGCAGCGAAGTGGAGCTGACAACTGCGTTTGGCGGTAGGGCGGGCATGCTTGTTTTCTTTTGTGGCTAATTTTACTTTGGTATAGGTTAAAAATTATAATTTTTGTTACCTTAACATAGAGTACGGACAACTGCGACGTCTTGGTCACGGTCGGTCACGGGGGGAGGGGGGGGGGGATGCCTAAAAATGAACTAGGTAGTTGCATGACACTAAATCTTTGCCTGCTGCAGATTGTTCAGGCGGACCCGCGGAGGAATGCTTTGCTGCGCAGTGTCGCCATACCCGCCAGCCAAGTAACCTCGGTAGAGTTCGGAGGCCCCTATGTGGATGGTGGCGACACTTTGTACGTGACCTCCATGAGAAAGGGTCTGAGCGAAGAAGAGCTAGTTCGAGAGCCGCTGGCCGGGTCCGTATTTGCTGTCACTGGACTCGGCACCTGCGGCCAGCGTAGCGCCAGCTGCCGAACATAGGCCAACTCAAGGACAGATATCCCTCGTAATTTCTCAAACAAAATTCACTCTCTGAATTGCAACAAATTTTTACCCCCCTCCTACCTTCACCAATGTATTTTTTTACTTTTTCGCTGCCTACAGCTCACTTCTCCATGGATACAGAATTGTGGCAAGAAAGCGAGGAATTTAAACAGGTTCTTATTAATTCATCGATACTCTCTTTGTTCTTATTAATTCATCAATACTCTCTTTGGCGGCGAGCACAAATTGCGGAATCGGCTTGGGGGAGGGGGGGGGAGGGGTCGGCCGAAAGGTGACAGCCGATGACAGGGGGAGGCGGGAGGTTTAGGCCGAATGACGTAGGTTTTAACCAGTTCCCTACGATGAGAACTTTACGTTATATTCCGGCCGAAATACGCGCGTCGTTACCCCACGGTAACTGCGACGATGCTCCACGACGCAGAGGACACACCTAGCATAGTTTAAGCACTGATTAAACGTTTGGGTGATCAGAACTTCGTCTTAATATCGTAACTAAGCGATTCTAAAATTTCGAGAACTACGAAAATGTAGGCTCGATGACAGAGGGGGGTAGGAAGGGGGTCCCCCCCTAAAATCGAGTCCGTGATTTGTGCACTCTTGCTTTTTATAAAACACCGGAAACTGAACAACGATATTTTAATCCTAACATGTCGTTTTCTGTTCAGGCAGTCGATTGACGAAGTCAAGAACTGTTGTGCTGAGCAAGTTGCACTTGTGGTACAGGAGTACATCAAGATCTTGAGGTCTGACAAAAAAAAAAGCAACACCCCTACGGTGAAAAAATCCTAAAAGTGGTATTCTAATGTTAACAAATTTACAAATGAAGGCCACGTGTAAAAATTGTAGTTTGTTAAAAGTCTTTACCCAACACTTGTTAAAATCAACTTGACTTAATACCATTTATCATCTACTCCTAAAGAGGTTCAGTTGCCTACGGCACACAGATAGATGTCCTAATTGACGTCATAAATGGATTCCATGCCAGGGCTTCATAACTTATAACGCCAACGAGTGTCAATTACTCAACGTAACAAAATACGTGTCAGATTTAAAGTTTTAGCTGACACAGGACTAAGACTAGAAAGTTCGGGCGAAAACCAGCTATCTAGAGTTTAAAATCTAGATGCCAATTAAATCCAAAAATCTCCCTCCAAAGCAATTAAAGTTAGTTCTTTGCGGTTCTTTTGAGGTTAAGTATGTCTATAGTGGGACGTAACTGTGTGAGCAAGAAAAAAAATTTCATAACTTTTAAATTCTTTAACTCCCAAAAACCTTAAAGTCAGTCGGCCCTGTTCCTTGCTCGATCACCCAGAGAACCATTCAGTTGATGAAACTATATCAGGGTTGTAAGAAACAAAATTTAGTTCCTAAAACCGGCTAAAATTTAGTAATCCTATTTGTAACTAAATATGGTCGCATCAATCAAATGAAAACAGCTTGACTAAATTATTTCATCGCCACAGATAAATTTTGGTCCTCAGAGCTAAAATTTCGTCGGTTCTCTGGACTAAACGGTCTTCTGGGTAGAGTTACTCTGAAGAGAACACTAGCCTTGGGCCGAGACTTTGTTTTTGAGCTGCACCAAAGGTTCTGGTTTATTTCGGATAAATTTGAAACACAAATTCGACAGGATTGTATATAGACAGCAGATCAATGAAACAGATAAATTTGTGACAGATGAAGGAAGTAACATTAAAATTACGTAGAATTATATTAAGCGTCATTGTTGCCTGTACCATATGACTTGTTGACGGGGAAATCACTTTGGTTCAAAGAGTACGGGTTATTTCGTGGCATTTTTCCTGCCATTTCGGTATTCAGTTATTCCGGATTATATCGGTGTATTTTGCGTTATTTCACAGTAATCAGGGGGTAATTCGGGACAATTTTACCATCTATTTCCAGTCTATTTCGGAGTTATTTCGCTCTATTTCAGGTCTACTTCGCTCTGTTTCGCCTTTACTTCTAACTATTTCGGCGGAAGGTGTACGAACTATTTCGCAAGTGGTTTCCCCCCGTGACTTGTTAGCTTTGGTGGAGAAGGGGCCATTCACGCTTGTCTATTGTGATTTCGTAGCTCGCGCTCTGGACCGTGCATCAGAAGCCGGATGATGAGCTAGTGATGAGTGAGTTGAAGCCAGCCATCGAACGAAACAGGAAAGCAAAAGGGCGAATTGGCAAGCACTGAGTCTGGTTTTGAGATTCTTTTAACTAGGGCTCTTATTTGTACCCGGGTACCCGGAAAACCCGCTTACCCGGGCACCCGGGTAGGAACCGTGTCGACGGGTTTTCGCGGGTACTCGGCGTATTACCCGGCTGCCCCGCGCCTATAGCTAGGCAATTTACAAACGAGCATGCCAAATAGCCTACTTGCAGGCGCGGTTCCACCGGGTTTACCCGGGTACCCGGGAAAACCCGTTGACCCGGTTCCTACCCGGGTTGCCCGGGTACCCACGGGTCGGGTTTTTAAGAGCCTTACTTTTAACACAAAACCATGCGATAACCGGTGTTTTGCGATTCCCATGCTAAAGGGCATGATAACCCCCAAAATGTGATAAAAGTGTTACATTATTGTGATAAAATAATCACAAAAATTACATAAGAACTTTTTATTACAGTTTTTGTGATGATTTTATCACAAAAATGTGATACTTTTACGAGGGGGCCTCTACTCCGACAATCTGGTGTACCCTCACCCCGGCAATCTACGATAATCTTCGGCAATCTCTAGGTAATAGGCTGCAAAAGCCAATTTTTTTTTTTGCCTACATTCGAGGTGACATTAGTGCGTTTTGCCTAGTTACAAGCTAAATATTCGTCAAGCAATCTGGCAATCTTGGCAATCTGGTGTGCACCCTACAAGAGAGTTGAGCCCCTCGTACCTTTATCACATTTTAGGGGGTTATCATGACTTTTGGCGTCGGAATCGCAAAACACCAGTTATCGCAAAAATTCCGTAAAAGTATCACAAAACGAATTTTAGTGTGGACAAGATACCTCGTTCTGTAGAGTTAGGCTGCCCAGAAACACAACAAAATATTCCAATCAATAAATCTCTTCCAACATCAGATAAGATAATTTTTTAAGTGTAGGCGAGGAAGGGCGCGGGCCAAGTTCTCGAGGGCATGGGGCCACGTAGGCGCAGATGCGCGAGTGCGCAGAAGAGGGAAGAGGTCATAGGCATACAACCCATATCTCAATAAAAATAAAAAAACAGGCCTGCCGGCCGGTAACGAGACAGTCCACCTCCAAAAGCAAATTCAACTGTCTCAATGTGCACTTAATCGCCTTCCCCGTGATTCCTTTCCTTTTTTTCGGTGTTTTGGAATTCAACTCAAAATCAGTACTTGCTAAATGTGTCGTAAGGGAATACCCACTGAACAGCCACTTTGCGCGATTTGCTACCGCATGTCAGTTCCCGAAGGAAATAAAATAAGAGGCACCTTACTTTTGGCAGATTTTTTTAGCTCTACATCATTCGATATTTTCTGTACAAGTCAATCTCCCCACACCGACACCATCATGATATATGCTCAGATGGGCACCGTGTAATTTTTTTTTAGCATGTGAATACTGTTAGAAATACATGATATTTCTACTGTCCGAATAAATCCTGTGTCACAATATACCCCACCTTCCCTTATCATTCTTTCAAAATATCTGCCAAAAACAGTTTTAAGAAGCCGCGAATATTTATGGAGATAACGCGAAAGTTACTTTGATGTACTATTTATTGCACGCTCCATATCATCCGTTACAAATTACATAACATAACATGCTGGTCAGCGTTTCGTTACAAATTACGTAACGTAACGTGGAACGTAAGAAATGTAACGAAAGTTTTTGTACGTTAAAAGGAGCATTTTTTCGTAATGAACTTAAGTCGTGAGATTTCGTACACGGAGAAAATATTGGTCTCCCAACCCAAACAAACGATTTTGTTAACATAGACTTATCAGCTAATTTTTAGTTGCAGGAGCAAGCAATTCTGCTACTACATCTAACACATCGCTAGGATAACAAATGCGTTTGTTGTCAGAAAAAAATCGTCATTTAGTAATCAGAACAGATGCATTTCGTACCGTAGTTAGTTGTGGCAGCATGATGTTGCTGCTCATAGCAAATTGTTCGCTCTTGCCGCGAAAAATTAGCTGTTATGTATATGTTGACAAAATCGTTAGTTGGGGGAACATTTTTTTTTCCGTGTAGTTGCTCGGAATCGAGCAAATGTTGCGGAGTCACAACATTTTCAACAATGTCAGTGGCCTTCCACAGCTGGCCCCGCTCACGCTGAGCGTGGCTTTAATAGATATGGCACTGGGCCTATGCCCCCCCTCCCTCCATCCCGGCCACCCACATGTCAGCAGCTGCTCTTCAAGAGAAGCCGCCGTGCGGCAGTGTACTAGCAGCGATGGCGACGATAGGAGAGTTGGATGTGCCTGCCGTGGTTAAGAACGCACTTGCTGAAATCGCAAAGGCTCGCGGCTTCGGTGAACCAAGGTAAGGCAGGCTGGGTGCTTCGGTCCCATGACAAACGTTTTATCGCGCCAGCTTTGAGGAAGTGTGCAAGTGTGCAACTCCAAAGTTGTCTGTCATGAAAGAAGTCCATTAGGTTTTAACTTATAAATTGAATTCGTGCTTATTAAAGGTAATAACTTATGGACCATATGTGCAAATAGTCAACTCCGTAGCTGTGCACTCACAACTGCTTAACTCGTAGTTGTCAGTTAAAAATGTGAAACTGTCGTTTGTTTTGTTTTTTGAAGAGGTGTACAAGTTACACTACAAGTAAAGGAGTAACCAAATACGATCCAAATAGAGCGATTTTGTGAGTCCAATCTGATGACTCAAGGGGGAGCGATATTAATTACATCGCTCGTTTCGAGTAACTTTCGCGACATGTTTGGTTACGAATAAGACTTATTTTGTGTCATTTTTGAAAACGTCGCTCGTTTAGAGTCGTTTCTGCGACATCTTCTGTTACGGAGACTCGTGTCAAATCATTTCGCAAAAATCGCCCTGACAGAGCGATGAAGCATATACGTCGCTCTATTCGGGAAAAAAAGGTCGCTCTACGTTTTACAGTGTTTCATGTTCCTTTCTCGCAGGGTTGTATTAATTGTATTACTTGATATTACTTGTCTAATATTATTACTTGTCTCCCTTCTCTCACGTTGGATTACCATGTATTACCGTGCTTTATAATACTTGCGCAATACTACGCAATATTTCCTTGTACTAGCACTTGTATAACAATGTTTTACTTGTATTATTTGGACCTGTAGTAACTTGCAATAGCTTAAGATACATGTAACACGTCGATTTTATCTACATCATTTGTAGTTTTCGTATTACTTGTATTCCCGATGTTTCTTGGTAATATATTCATCTGTCCCTGCTAAGCCAAGTTGGAACCCCTTGTTTTTTCGTCAAATAACAATATGTATTTTCAACAGTGTTTGAAGGTTGGCAAATATTTTTGCAGCCATACGTTTTTATTTGTTGCTGGGCAGGTTTCATGTGGAATCAGGTTCAAGTGCCGGTGATGGATACACCAGTGTTATGTTTCGGGTCAACTTGAATGGCACGGTATGTCTTTTTCGGCGGGTACTGTTTTGCGCGGAGCGATAACGCTTATACATACAATAGCCTGTCGCACGCACTGATAAACGTCG